ATAAATTAATAGATAATAAATTGGAAATATATAGCTAATCTTCACAATTTACAAGATAAAGAAGGACTTTGTGCTGCTAATAAAATTAATAAATCTCATATTGACTATCACAAACAAAAAATGAAAGTACAATTAAAAATACTACAATACTTATATTTTTTTTAAAGGTTAAACTTGCTGTACAAAATGTATTCTTTTGGCACAAGAGCTAAAGATTGATGGGTTTGAAAATTGTGAGAGCACAGTTGACTTTATTCAAATGATTGATCAGTATTAAAATATATTAATATTTTAAATAATATTTTTATAGAATGTATGACTTTTTAAATACACGGAACATAGTTGCTAAAGGGTTTAAAAAACCACTAACTACAAATTCACTTTCTTATTATGAAAATTTTTTTGAGATGTGCATTACAACTTTAAAATCCTTAAAGTTTGAAAGTGGAAAATACGTTTATAGATCAAAAAAAAAGTCTGCATTATAGGCTTAATCTTGTCAATGAAAAGCATTTTGGGAATTGGGAGGGAATTATTATTAAGACCTAACCCCAAACTCAAGTATTTTATTTAGCATTATATATATTTTGTATATTTATTGCTTTTCATATTTTAGATATCTTTTAACCTACAAAACATCTCAAGATCATCTAGAGCTCTTCTTTAGCTGTTTACGAAGCAGAGGAGGTTTTAATAATAACCCTTCTGCCTATCAATTACGATCAGCTATAAGAGGCGTTATGATAGCAAAGATGGGAGCCTTATGCACAGGTAATTGTATTCCACTCGATAATACAAATCTTTTTTGTGGAGATTATCAAGATAATGATAATGACAATATACAAGCTATAGATTTTTCTTTTATAGATGTTCCAGATATCCAAAAATTATTGCCATTCATTGATAACACGCAACTTATATATCAGGATATATAACACGTAAACTTATATTCGAAAATAAGGTAAAGTGTTATATATGTATTTCTGCAATGATTGTTAAAAATTGTAAAGATCAAGAGAGCTATAATTTAATTAAAATTAAAAACAATCAGGGATTAATAATTCCTTCCAGAGATGTATCTAGATTATGCCAATATGCTGAAAGTGGTTTCCGTACATTTGAACATAATAATCAAATTAAAAGGCCTTGTATATTTTAACAAATAGTATCTTTTGTGATTTCAAAAGTGATAGAAACAAATATTTTTGATAATCTGGTTGATCACATGCTAGATCAAGAAGAAACATCTAGCCATTATCAAAAATTAATTAGATTAATAGTTGAACGTTACATAAACATAAGATTTTATCATTTTGCAGATAAACAAAATAAAAATGAAAATACCAACATTCGTCAGAAGCTGACCAAAACCATTCTATTTAAAGGACAATAAATATATCTATATAATCTTTTTTAATTTAAATGATATTAGATATATATTGTAACTATATATATTTAAATATAAATAATATCTATAAATCCTTTTTGTAATTCATGAATATTATTTCTATTTATTAATTTATAATAAACAATTATTGATTTTCATCATAAGATTAATAATCTCATAATATTAAGTTATGAAATTCTTCAAAAAATAAAAAGGTAAGATTAAGCTAAATTTATCTGAAGTCTTTAGAAATGTTTTAATTTATTTAATCTATATTTTTTTTATTGATAAAATAAACTGGATAATATAATATAAGGAAAAATAATTTTTTATTTGCAATACATAATTTATCCTAAGATATATCTATTAAATCAATATGATCCAATTAGCACAACTGATTAAAATATTAAATTCATATTGTATTTCTTTAATAATATAACATATTTTTTATAATATATATATTATTGAGAATCTGAAGATTAAACATTTACTTTATATTTAAAAAAAAAGAAATACCTCTATTTTTAAGATTCAGGATCAACAACTTTAAAATTGAGAGAACTTTACATTTATTATTTAAGAAAAATATTGGAGAGGATGCCTAATATTCTGGATTTATAAGTTATATTTTATCTTTTTATTAATATCATAATGTAAATTTTTAGCTAGAATTCTTTAAAAATTAACTTATGTTTAGATGTTTAAGCCAAACAATATGAATATTTATAATAAAAATCCTGATGATTCAGTTTATCACCTTGTATGATCCGAAATATTAAAAGGGCAAGTAAAGTCTCATATTAAGATAAACATAAATTTAAGCAATGATTTAAATATATCTACCTTATTAGATATTTTAATAATAGAATAGAAACTAAAAACAATTATATTGTGTCTTAAGAAAAACAAATGATAAGTAAGGGAACTTTATTAGATACTTTATATTCTATGTATAAAAAAATGTTTAAAATATAAATTTTAATAATTTAGTCATATAATTTTAAATTATTTGAATTTGGTCTGCTAAATATATATCTTCTTGGAAGAATAGCCTTGGAATATTTGTGGGATAGGATCCTTGATGGTACATTAATGCAGATGGATGTGGATTTAAATTCTTTGTCAAGTATCATAGGAAAAATTTCAGATATAGTAATAAATTAAGCTCTCGTTTAAAATTTTAATAATGATTTCTGTTACCAAAATGGCGGGTCCAGCTGATTTGCTTTTAACGACGCTTAAAAATGCATTTTAATGAATGAATCGTCAGTCTAGGTATATTATATGTCATTGATATATGCATTCTAATTTTATCAATTCATTCATTCATTACCACGCCAGAACGTGCAATTTCATCACCACCAGGAGTTGAAGTGTGCATCATGTATCTTCACTAGTATATAGACCCCATACATGATGTTTACCCGTTTTATTATAGTGGACGGTACCACTATGTAGCCAGTTAGCAAAGTGAAGAAGGAAGAAGTAAATGGTGATGTATTAGTTCCGTTACCGGCAGAATAGTGTTAAGGAAAAAAATAAATAATGTCATATAATAATGTACCTGCATCCTTAAGTGGTATTTAGTGAGGCAACAAAAAATAATAACCCTTATATCTTGGTAAGTATTGAGAGTTTATGTTAAGTTTGCACGAAGAGTCTCTTCCTTGTTTGTTGTTCGGTGTGCCAAATATCGTATGTCCTGTAGATCTTGTATGTGTTGTGCCAATGATATTTGGGTTCGTCCGAGTTATTGCGTTATTATTATAACCAGTCAGTGGCGTAGCTACGGGGGTGGTTTTCGGGTTTGGACCCCTCCCAGAGCAAATTTTTTTTTGAGATTATACGTTCAAAAGACTTAAAAGTGATTTTATATGAATTATATTTTTCTGGTTTTGATGTTTGTGGAAGGATATTATATTACTATTGAAATTATTCTGGATAGTATTATTATAAAGTCATTGAGAATAATCTACTAAATTATAATAACTGCAGTAAAAAATATATTTATTATATATTCTCGAAGATATGGTTATGATTTGTAAGATAAACATGGCCGAAGGCCTGGCAAAAGGGCCGAAGGCCCGTTAAAGGGGGTCTGGAGGGCGAAGCCCCCCAGCTTTTATATGTATGGACCCCCTCTAAGGAAAATTCCTAGCTACGCCACTGTAACCAGTGTACCTTCTCATTGTCCATTATACAACTAATAGTCTCGTAATTGTTATCGTTATCGTCGCCGATATCATGTGTCCAGAAAAGAAAGGTCGTGGGTTAATAAAGGAAGTTAAGTTATGTTGTTGTTGTTCAGGTTATTATCATTATCAAACATACTTTATTCTATTTATTGCAAGAAAGTAAAGGAGAAGAACGGTTTCAATGTTAATTTAGGCCATATTTTAACATGTATTATAAATGTTCTTTTAGGTGTTTCTTTATTTTGCTGTGCCATGAAATCTGCAAACGAGAGGTTAATCAGGTCCATATCTTTCAAACATTTCGCCAATCAATAGTATTTAGGAGTTTTCTTCCTACCGTCAGGGCACTATTTCAAGAACGAGAATATCATATTTTCCTGCGAGTGTCTTAAGCTATGGCCTAGTATATCTAGTCTCCTCAAGGGTATGAGAGGATTGATTGGTAGGATGTCGCATCTATTCCAGATCGTTGTATTTGATGTGTTGTATGGGTAATACGTTTTGGTGATTCTTCTAAGGCATTTGTTTATAAATGTCTGAATTGTGTTTATGTTACTTTTTGAGGCCTGCCAAGTCTCCAGGCCGTAGTTAAAAATGGGTACAATTAGGGACTTGAAGAGTCTTATTTTTAAACTAGTTGATATTTGGTTGGATGACCATAATTTCGACAGTTGATGATAGCGGAGTCTAGCATTATTCGTTCTCGCTTTCGTATCTAAGTGAGGCCTAATGATGTTATCCTGGTTCCTAGGCATTCAAAATCTGACACTAATTCTATCGTATTCCCCCCAAAGTTAAAGGGGTTTAAGTTACTCGCATCGGTATTTGAGGTGATCAGCTTGGTTTTTGTGTAGTTAACTCTTAAACCATATCCATCACAGTTATTGACAAATAATAATAAAATATATCTTAATTTGTATTCTGAGTTGGCTAGAATACATACGTCGTCGGCATAACATAGAAAGTTTAGAGAGTTATGCATATCATTAAGGTGCTGTTGATCACTGTAATATGTGTTGAGTGCATATTCCTGTTTAAGGGATTTATTTAGGATATCATTGATTATTACATTAAAAATAATCGGTGAAAGGATGCATCCTTGTTTGAGGCCCCTATTTGCTTTAAAAGGTTGTGATTTCATATTTAGATGTTGAGGAACTACGCTATGATTGTCGTAAATTATCTTAATTAGCGCTATCAGATGCTTATCTATTCCAATGTTTTCCAGCAAGGGCCATATCTTATTCTGAATTATGGAGTCAAAGGCTTGACTTAAATCAATCATTAGGGCAAAGATGGGGGATTTATGCATTCTGGCCTTTTCCAGAATGACCTTAAGTGCCATAGTCAACTCCGTAGTATTTCTGCCCTTCCTGTATGATGTGATAGCGTTAGAAAGGAACCTGTTAATGATTGGTTTAATCCTGACCGATATAATGTATGTGAACATTTTTAGTGTGACTGAGTGCAATACCTCTGTAATCCTTAAGGCAGTTTGCGGACTTATTTTTAGGGAAGTTTAGTATAATTGATGTCATCCATTCGTCAGGAAACTTACCCGTATTCCAAATCTCCCTAAAGAAGGGAAGTAGTAAGCTGGCACTTAGGTCTACCTCTATCTCCCAGAGTTCTGCAAAGATCCCATCAGCTCCAGCAGCTTTATGCATTTTTAGACGTTTGATGGCACCGACTATATCGGACTTGTGTAGATTCTGACTGGGTGATTGGAAGGGGTAGTCACATCTAGGTCTAGGCCATCTCGTTCTGTAGAGGTTGATGTAATGGTCTATTCATAAGTCTAATTGTTCCTTAGGGTCAGTTATAATCTTGTTGTTATTTAATTGTAGTCTTGGTAATGGATTGGTTTTAAAAGTGGTGAGTAGTTTAAGAGATTTGAAGGCCTTATAAATATTATTATTATCAAAATTGAATTGGATAGAATTCGATAAGTTAGCAATAAACAGTCTTTTGTCAGCCCTTATGCGGTGAGTAATGTACCTACTATGATGTCTTGCGAATTGGTGGTGGGATATATTTGTTGTAATATTCTTAATTATTTGTATTGTTGAAGGGGTGAGCCACTCTCTGATGTTAATTTAGATACGAACTCTTCTTTCACCTCTAAGTCATAGTTGAGCCAAATCTTTTCTAGCTATGTATTATACAGTGGTGAGACTGTTCTGTCTAGTGTGGTTTGGGAAGATACTGTTGTTAATTTTGAGTTCACAACCCAGTGGATAATGGTCCGTAAAAAGTGTAAGGTTTAATTTACTGATTACTCTGATGTCTCTCACCCACTTGAAGATCTTAGTGGAAATTACAAAGAAATCTATCTGCGAGGTAGTTCCAAAGGAAGGACTCTTGTAAGTCATGATGTGATGAGTTGGATGATTGAAGAAAGTATTTCCAATTTTCATGTTGAAAAGCTCACAGATTTCTATTAACCTTTTACCGTTGGGGTTCGTATTTTGTATTAATGTGGCGTTTCCAAGGCAGGAAGAGTTCTTATATTTACATACCGAAGCATTGAAATCGCCTGCTAGAATGATGCCATCCTGATGCGGTAGTTCCTTTAAGACATTCTCCAATTCCATATAGAAAACACTATCATTGTGAGGCGCGTATATATTAAACAAATGAACTTTTTTGTATCCTAAGTTTAGGGTAAGGCAGCATATTTGGCTGGAGATTGGGTTGAAGCATACGAATCTTTTTAATTTATTATGTATCATAATCGCCACCCCAGCCCATACGTGTTCAGCATTTAAACTGCAATATAAGGTGTAATCTAAGAGGTTCCTTACCATAGTTACTTTAAGGTGGGTCTGCTGTAAAAAGAAGATATCTTAATGTTGGTCTTTCATGACTTGCCTAAGTATAGTTTGTTTATCATTCAGGGATCTTATATTTAAGAGATCATTTTAATATTGTGGTCCTTCATTGAAAAATTTTATTAAAATTTAATTATGATTACCGTGCCGATTCTGTAAGGGAGATAAGGGAAAAAAGGCAAAAAGTAATATATGTATATATATTCATTTTAATTATGTCATTCTGATGTAAATATCGTTTACAAAGTGCCATTACTTATTTGTGTGCTACCTACAAGATATATTTAGAGTAATTCCTTATTGGAGATAAAGAGACCTAACTATCTATCTATTTTCATTTTTTGTGCTACTCAAAAAATATATTTTGGATGATATCCTTGGTATCAAATATTATAAAAGGGGAGGGCAGGGCCAACTAATCAGGTTATTATCTTATATTATAAGGTATTTATAAAATATAAGCATTAGAGTGGAATATTGATTTATTCGTTATATGTTATATTTAAATAGTATGACGGGAAAAGGAAAAAATTCTTAACAGGACATATTTTGAATAAATATATTCATAAACTTAATTTTTATTAGAATACAAAATATATCAAAAGAACCATCTATCAACTAACAAGTGGTACGGGGTTGGGACTATGTTAGTTTTCAAGGTTAATGAAGCAAGATTAATTATTTTATTTCTATAATTTATTTCAATTATTTTATTTCTAAAAAAATTTTTTATTCCCTTTAAATTTAAAAAATGCCTATCTTAAAAACATAAATTCAAGAAAGGGTGAGAGACTATCTAATATATACAACTGGAAATTTAAAAGTTTTATCCCTATTAAGAAGTTTGGATGGAGTTATAGCCAAGATAGAAGTTTAGGCACCAAACCTGAAACCCCTCTTAATTAACAACAGTATCTTCCCAAACCACACTAGACAGAACAGTCTCACCACTGTAAAATACATAGCTAGAAAAGACTTGGCACAACTATGACTTAGAGGTGAAAGAAGAGTTCGTCTCTAAATTAACATCATGGAGAAATACAGTAAATGGCATGATAAACCCAAATCTGACCTGGAAGGACATTAAGCTGAATTTATTAGGTAGTATAACATCATGCTTAAGACCACGCATCAAGCGCAGAGAGTGGCTCACCCCTTCAACAATACAAATAATTAAGAATCTTACAACAAATATATCCCACCACCAATTCGCAAGACATCATAGGAGGTACATTACTCACCGCATAAGGGCTGACAAAAGACTGTTTATTGCTAAATTATTGAATTCTATCCAATTCAATTTTGTTAATAATAATATTTATAAGGCCTTCAAATGTCTTAAACTACTCACCACCTTTAAAACCAATCTTTTATCATGACTACAATTAAATAATAACAAGATTATAACTGACCCTAAGGAACAATTAGACTTATGGATAGACCACTATATGAACCTCTACAGAACGAGATGGCCTAGACCTAGATGTGACTATCCCTTCCAATCACCCAGTCAGAATCTACACAAGTCCGATATAGTCGGTGCCATCAAACGTCTAAAAATGCATAAAGCTGCTGGAGCTGATGGGATCTTTGCAGAACTCTAGGAGATAGAGGTAGACCTAAGTGCCAGCTTACTACTTCCCCTCTTTAGGGAGATTTGGAATACGGGTAAGTTTCCTGACAAATGGATGACATCAATTATACTAAACTTCCCTAAAAATAAGTCCCCAAACTGCCTTAAGGATTACAGAGGTATTGCACTGATTCCAGTCACACTAAAAATGTTCACATACATCATATCGGTCAGGATTAAACCAATCATTAACAGGTTCCTTTCTAACGCTATCACATCATACAGGAAGGGCAGAAATACTACGGAGTTGACTATAAGGCCAGAATGCATAAATCCCCCATCTTTGCCCTAATGATTGATTTAAGTCAAGCCTTTGACTCCATAATTCAGAATAAGATATGGCGCTTGCTGGAAAACATTGGAATAGATAAGCATCTGATAGCGCTAATTAAGATAATTTACGACAATCATAGCGTAGTTCCTCAACATCTAAATATGAAATCACAACCTTTTAAAGCAAATAGGGGCCTCAAACAAGGATGCATCCTTTCACCGATTATTTTTAATGTAATAATGAATGATATCCTAAATAAATCCCTTAAACAGGAATATGCACTCAACACATATTACAGTGATCAACAGCACCTTAATGATATGCATAACTCTCTAAACTTTTTATGTTATGCCGACGACGTATGTATTCTAGCCAACTCAGAATACAAATTAAGAAATATTTTATCATTATTTGTCAATAACTGTGATGGATATGGTTTAAGAGTTAACTACACAAAAACCAAGCTGATCACCTCAAATACCGATGTGAGTAACTTAAACCCCTTTAACTTTGAGGGTAATACCATAGAATTAGTGTCATATTTTAAATACCTAGGAACCAGGATAACATCATTAGGCCTCACTTTTTTAGATAATTAAATCACTAGTATTCGTCATTGATGTGATATTTAATGTTGTTTCTATGATTAATTAATAATAAAAAATATAAAATTTTATTTTACCTATAATTTGATTGATTTCTTTGAAACCTTGTTTAAATCCTGGCTGAATTTGGACAATTTGTGCATATATATAATAGTGATTCAATTTTTTAGACCATAAAATTTTATTTAAAAATAATATTTTGATGAATTTCTTTTAAACATTGTTTCCTGGCTGAATTTGGATAATTTGTGCATATATAATAATATTTCAATTTTTATAAAATTTTATTTAAAAATAATTATTTTACCTAAATATTTTGATTTTGTATAAGATTTTTATTGGCGGAGAAAAAAAAGGTTGCACGCATCCTTTGCGTATTTATTCCATGGCAGGAGGAAAAATTATATTATACAATAGATACTATGAGTGTCAGATAGTGTTAACTTTCACCCAATATTATATTAATCATAACTATATATAATCATTATAACCATATCTAATTGACGAATATAATAATTCATGATGTATAAATTTTTAAAAAAAATTTAACGGCCCGGCCCAGGTTTAATAATCTTAGGCCCGGCCCGGCCCGGCCCGGGTATTTAAAAAAAAATTTCAGGCCAGGCCCTACCCGGGTATATTTTAAAAATTTGAAATCCAGCCCGCCCAGGGTACCCGGTCAGGCCGGGCTTGCAGGTCTTTGATAAATAACAAATAATTATTTTAAACTTTTTAAAAAAAAATCAAATATTTTGTATTATAAAAATAATGGTTTATGATTGGTTAAATAAATACTCTATCTGTAATAAATTTAAACATTAGGTCAAAAGGAAATTTTAAAATTATTTTTAAGGCGGTTTCTTAAAGTAAAGGAGTGGAAGGAAATTCCTAAGTAACTCAATTTCTATTAAAAGTGGACTTAGGACCTGCTAAAGCTAATATCAAGAATTTATCAAGTAAAAATATTTTTCAACCCCTTAGCTTTAAAGGTTTTTTTTATGATAGATTTTCTATAAGTTTAAACCAACATAAATCAATATCAATATTTTTTTATAACGTATTAGTAAAAAAAAATATTTGATTTTAAAAATATAAAAATCGCTTTATTATTTTTATTTAAAAAAAACGGTAGTGCTACAGAGTTTTTTCAGCTAATGTGCTCTAAAACCTCATTCACAGCTGCCGCTAATTCGCGTCGAAGAATACAAAAATACAACCCGGATTCAAGCTAACAGTTAATGCAGAGTGAGAAATAATAAATTCTTACTAAGTAAAGTAGATTTTTAAAAAAAATCACCTACACCTACCTTTTTAATAAAACAAATTTATAAATTTTTTTAACAACGAAATTACTCATTATATAGACATAGGTGTTGCAGTTTTGCTTTACAAAAAGATGCATTATGCAAATCGTAAACAAAATAATGTTTTATTAAAATATCCCCGTCTATGTAAATGAGAAAAAAACGCGTGATATTTGTAGATTTTTTCATACTTTAACTACTTCGCTAGGAAGACTATGTAAATGTTGATTAAAGAAAAAGAATATATAATGGAGAAATTATGATGCGAAAAGGATATATTTTTTTAACTAAAATTTACTTTTTCTTTTCTTATATTAGTTTATTTTTCTTTTACTTTGATTATGTTTTTCACTTTGTATTTAATTATATTTATTATTATTTAATAAAAGATTCAACTCTAATTTTAGTATATATTTCTTTTTATATTTAGGTTTTGATTCCCAATGCCAAATTTTTCAATTGTGACAGTGTATAGTTTGAATTAGTGTTGTAATTAGCCAAAATAATATTACCTGAGCTTCTAGATTTCTTTGATAGATCTCCAAATCTTCCTGCCACCTATGAACAAAATCTTCATGCTGGAATGATATTTTCTTGGCCAAAATATTGAGTTATTTCGAAGCCCTGACTTAATCGACTTGCTTATCAATACTAGTTTGTACCCATGGCGATATTCGTGCTCAGAAAGGTTCAAATATCTTTTGCCGGAATTTTGTCAACAAATTTAATAATAACCGGTTTTACCACACGATTATCATGTAAAGAAAGACATTGTACCATATAAGCGTAATTATGGTAAAAATATTTGAAAGTTTTATTTTTCTTAAAATAAAATCCCATTCATAAAATATTGAAAAACAAAAAGTTTGAGAAAAATTGCCAGGAGGAACGTTTCTTAAATACGTTACCGATTATTTTGATTTTCTGGTTACCTCCAATTTTTAGCCACTTGAAGCTGATTTACTTGGACACCCGAATAACCGTATGCAGACATTATCTCCAACATTATATTCTAGTTGAAAAATTATGCACTAAAATATTTAAGCTGTTACGGAAGATAATTTCGGGATTAGTAAATTCACTTATCGGATTCTGAAATGATTATATTGCACCACGAATTTAACTGTCATCCTTGAGGAAAAAAATCGGCATAATTATAT